ATAAGCAAATAAGTTAAGAAAATCATTTTGTGTAGGATAAATTGAAATTGATCAAAAAATTTGAATGGAAAATTAAAGGAAAGGAAATTTTAATAGGAAAATAGCTTGTAGAATTTTCTATTTTCACATTGTATTTCCATTATAAAACTTTAACCCAACTTGGCCTTTTTCTGTGATCTGAATGGAGCTATGTATTTGAATGTAAGAAAGATACAGTATATCAAATAGTATTTTTTATTATTACTTACAATCATTATTGCATTATTCTTAATAGAAATTGTAAAAATCAAAATAACCTATTAAATCTTTGTTGAATTACTTCAGAATTAAATAGAAAATTATTAAAATTGTAGTTGTATGAAAAAAGATAAACAGTACAAAACTTTGTCTGTAAATTGCTGTGTTATGTAAATGAATAGAGATGTTAAATGACATGGCTAATTTTAATTGCAAATCATTCATATTTTGTATTTCAAAGCTGTTTATTATTCTGTGGAATTTAGTTACAAATCATAAGTCCCTTTTTATTTATAGTATTGTAGTTATGGACTCAAATTTTATTTTATTTAATGTGGTGTAGAGGTACATTACATTTGTCCTAATTTAAATTGGTGTTAACTATTAAAATCAGTTAATATGATTTATATAAAAATTCAGAATATTTTTAAACAATTATTGGTGTTGCAATGAACAGTATATTTGGCCTCAGGCCAAATATACTGTTTGTTGCAACACCAATAATTATGTTTAAAAACTAATAATTATGAGGCCGAATACCGAATATTTGGCCAAACTATTTGGCTTGATTAACGCACGTACGAAAATTGGTGCGCAAACCTCATTATGGCAAGGACCCTGCTCTCTATTGGCCCACTGTCACTACGCTTCGNCAATCTCTATTCTGAGTTAAGACTTCTTTCTAATTATTAAATTTACCATGACTAGTTAGCAACTGTCTACCTCTAACCAAATTGATTTATATGTAATTATTTGCTAGTTTGAAAGAACCCCAATGGATAATCCAGCTGATCGTTTGGCAATATTAACAATAGAATGTAAAAACTGAAAAGCTGAAAATCCTGTAAGATTAAAGCTACACATTTTGCATTAAACAGGAAAGCAAGAATTACACACATAATTTTGCAATTTATAATGTATTTTTTTTTTTTTTATTGGTTCAAACCTGACTGTATTACCTAATAGTCGGTGCCACAATATGATTTAGTGATAATAATCAAATTTTTAGTTAATTCTTATTTATAGTATACTTGTTTATTGTTGACATTATAGAATCCTGTTTCTACAAGAAGTCTAGGTTTAAATCTGATTTTGTATCTTGATATTTGGATCAGGATTGTTTTATTCTTCTATCCAATGCAGTTCAGGCTACCCATAATGAATAAAGTTAAAGTTGATCGTATAAGCAATCTAACAAATGCAATCCGATCCTTCTCTTGTACGTCAAGAGCAAAAACAATATCTTTTCAAGGTATTGTTTTTGCTCTTGGTACCAACGAAAGATGATCCGATTTTTTGCGGATCTTTACCGAAACGTTTGTGGAAATGGCATAGTACCATTGTAATTGAATGTATCTTTGCTAGCAACAACACTGCATATGCTTTCTGCGCTGATGATCACCATTTTGCAAACAGCAGTGCCTCCTATCTTGAAAAGAATGCACGAGCATGCCCTACAAGTAGGGACATTTTGATATCGATACTTGTCATTATTACCTGTATATCGTTTACATTTTGCAGACAGGTAAGATCCGACCGAAATTGGATTTTCCAGCTGAAACCGAATCTTACGCAATTTTCAGTGAACGAAAATGAAAATTACACACACACACACACACACACACACACACACGCGTCTGAAAATGAAATTTGATGTAATAAATTTCATTTTCAAAATGTATAGCGTACTTATAGTTCAGATTACTATTTATAAATAACTGGCAATTACGAGTACTGTATTTGAGAAACTCGAAAATATATTAAAATCCCAAATCGACCGATACAGTATTGGTAACATTAAGTTTATATTAGAAATCAGCTTTAGTAATTTTTTAATACGCTTTATCCTCGTTAGTTGTTATTTATGTTGAAATGTTGAGAGTTTTGATATACAAAACGTTTCAAAATCAAGTCGCAGACCAGCAAGATTTCCAGTTCCCATACCCAATGCCGATACTGGCCGGTATAGATGCTTCTTGGTATCGGGGCGTCACTAACAAGTACTGACCTAAACTTTGCTTTCCTATCCGTTGATGGCACACTTTTTTTTGTAATAGTTATTGTTTTAATTACGCAAAGTTATTTCGTTTCTTTGGTATCGTCCTTTATTTCATACAGTCGGGAATTCTCGGGAAAAGCTTTTCCGGATAGGACAAGCCTTTTTCCGGTCAAAAGTGCTAATGGGCAAACACACGAAAAAACGGATAATTCTTTTGCTACAGGCTCCCAAAATGTAGTATTAATATAATTTTGACAGAACAGAAGAAACTCGTAAATACTTTTACAGTAATCGCCGTATGTTTGTAAGATATTTTAAGAGTGAATACCCGTTCACTAGGCCCTAGTATTGTATTTATACCATATGATTATATTAGTGCAGTTATGCCACGCCCTCTTTACTCGTAACGGCGCCATATCATCAGAAGAATCAAATTGTAATTGGATTTTAAGAGCAATTTTTTCTAGCTTGACTATTTACGTATCCCGTACATGCTTCTGTCTACTGGTAGACTCGTCAATATTTCAAACATCGTCGTTAGTCTCGTAGTATTTCTAACTCGTTTGTGCATTCCATTCCACAATCCGTTTCGTCATCCAACGGGTTCAACCGCAACAACTACCACAATACATTCCTTAATCGTTTTCGCAACCGCAGCCTGGCCGCACCAATTGGTAAAACGGATTGGTAAGAGTTGCAGACGTGGAACGGAAATAGATTGCTGAACGAGTTGCATTCGAAACATTGGTAGCGGCGTGATTTGCAACCGCATAAATGGTCATTGCTGTCGACTGGTGGTCAAAATTTGTGCATCGTATATTTTGAAAACACCTAGAAACAACACTGTCGGTTTTTAAGTTGATTGAGATTGTGTATGAGTTTGTTCAACCTCTTTGAAGCTTAATAATTCTCGTTTTTTGTCGAAAATTTCTGAAATTTTGTAGGGAGGTTTGTTTATTATGGCATCGATTCTATTAAATTTTGGTGGTTGAAGGTCGAGGGGACCGTGTGTCATATGTCCAGTTAAAAAGTATAAAAAATTTTTAATAATAAAATATCCTAACAGATGGCGCCTGACACGCAGTTTTAAATGTTGCCGGGGAAAGTTAAACAACTCGTTGCTGGACTTTTTTTTTGCCTGGATTTACTTTTACTAGTTGCGGAAGAAGTACGTGTATAACGCGCATCGATCCCGAAAATGTCTTTATTACGTCGACAACCGATCGTAGGAATTTTGAAGTTATATTTTATATGACAAATATTTGTCGACTTACGCGAAATTATCGTTTTAGTTTAGTGTTTTAATTAAATCGGCGTTTTTATTTCTTTATTGTATAAATCCCACTCGAAATACATTGTCTTCCTTCCAACGAGTAGAGTAGAGCCAAAATTTCTCATTTTTTATTATCCCGCCCAACAAATACATCGCGACGTTCTTCAATATCACGAATACGTAGTCTTGGATATATATTTGTCTTACAAATTGGCGAAGACTTGGTGGATAACAGATGACGAAATCTGCGTACAGTAATGGTTCCGACCTTAACATATTGATATATAATACTAACCGGTAACCACTCGAAGACGAGATTTATAAATATAATAATTACCTAGTTTTTATTGAAAGTTTGCCATCTGGCACGGGTTAATTAAAGATGACTAAAATTAATCGCCGGATAAAAACAATTTTAAAATAATAAAATGTTATAGTAGAATAAACCGGGAAGTTACTGGTCCCTTTTACTCTTCGCTTAGCTCTAATCTTTCTGAACGCTAATAAGTAATTGGGCTGCAATTTTGGTCAAATCGTTACTCCACAAACAAAAGTAAAGAAATCGATATAATTTTTTTACATTTCCTTTTGTACTAACTTCCTTTTGTAAAAAGTCATACTAACATGTAAAATTAGTTACGCCAAAAATGTAAAAATAACGAGTGATGCCCGTCGTCTCACTCTGTTTCTGGAAAATTTTCAATCAAAATGGCGATTTCCGGCCCAGACCGGAAGTTCGTATAGTTAATCGGGGCCTCCGAGCCCTAAGCTTTCCTTATCCGGTCTCGATTTTCGTCTGTCCAACGACGATCTCGTACCTACAACCGAAAACACGGTAGAAAAATGTTTCCGGTGGCGACGGCGCGATTAGTTTTACGCCAGACCACATTACGGGACGTTTGGAATTATAAATTTCTCCGGCATGATTTAAATTTAGCAGAACCAATAAAGTAACGGAATCGGCGTAGAAAAATATGTACCAATATATGGACCATCGAATTTCTTAGTACTCGGCGTAAATGTACGCGCTTAAGTTTACCTATCTTATTTTAAATGCCTTCCATAGTTGTGGGCTATAATGGCCGACAAATATTAAATATTTATACCGGCTGTTAAATGTAATTCTTTTACAACCATCTACGGGGAGACGAATGCCATTCCTTTCCCTCCATCGTCCGGGAATTATAAATTCCTCCCGTCTTTAAAATATAAAAATAGTCCGGACGAAGCGTACTTTCCTTATCTTTTAGTGGGCGAAAGTTCGTACGTCCCACTCGACGCGTTGGATTCGGTAAGGGTTTAACGCTACAAACTATAAAGGACGAGCGTCTAAAACCTTATTTCGAGGGAGAAAATTAACAAAAAACCCGAGTGGCGGGAAGTAACCTCAGCGTGCGAAGGTTACGGCGAGATAAGTGGGAAAAGCCAAACGGGTTTTCGAATTTTACCCGAAAGATTTTAACATGGATGATTTTTTTTTTTGCGGTTTAGATATCAGAATGCCCCTGATATGGAAAGACAGCGACCACTTCAAGAACAAGGGGGACTACAGGAGGTTCGCCGTCTTCTGTCTGCTGAAAATCGGGACGGAGATCTACGACACCGTCATGATCAACAACGTGGACCGCAGCATGACCGACATCTCCTTCGAAGACGTCGTGGTCTTGTACGTTTCCCGCCTCCCCACTCTCGCCCCCTCTCCGTCCGCCTGACGTTTTCCCCTACTTCCTTTCAGCAATCGCGTTCCTCCCAATTTCGAGTTTCGCCTGGAAGTGTACAGCCACGTCCTGCACGACGACCTGAGCATCGCCAGCACCCCCAGGAAGATCAAGAAAAAGATATCCAACTCCATAAGTAGGACCATAGGAAGGAAACTGGCGGCCAGTCTGGTGAGTGGGGCCCGCGCCCGCCCGAAACGCTTAAATATTCGGCGTCTTTGACAAACTTGAAAACATTGCAATTCGATTAAATTAACCGAAAATTGTATTTTCCAGAAAGAAGAATTGACTTCCATCGACATGTAAGTGGATCTTTTCCCTTCTAGACAATGCCCGGGCGCGTTTAAATCGGCGGTTTTTTTTCGGCAGAGGTCCAAAATTCGATCTGGTGGCGCACGCCACTCTGAGGCTGTCCGATTCCAGCGACGACATCCACACGCACGACCTGATCCTGGAGAACGCCGAGAACCCCCACCATCAGTTGCCCCTCTTCGGCCACTTCTGCTGTCGATTGGCCGTCCAGCCCGACTGCGCCACCGAAGAGTGCGCTTCGGGCCACCTGGGTCTGATTCAGGTAAACGAAATTTCCCTCTTTCCGGCGGCGTTTTATCCGACGGAATTTTAACTCCGCTCTCTCTCCCCTCAGCGAGTTGGAAATGTGGGTGGTTGCCGGCGCATGTGGTGCACTCTGCGGAACTTCCGCCTGTCCTTCTGGGCTAAGTGCGAAGATTCCCGACATTCTCCGCCCGTCCTGTCTATCCCGGTCGACAAGGTAAGTGTCTCTCCCTTCGCCCGCTTTTTCGATTTAACTTCGCCGTCTAAAGAGGGACGTTGGCCAACAGGAAACCGTGTGTCTGCCCGAGAAGTCTTCGGTTCGTCCCCACTGCTTCAAGATCGTCAACCGTTGCGAAGGCAAGATGGTGGAGCACGTGCTATCGGCCGACACCGACTTCCAGTGCGCCGAGTGGACGGCCCGCCTGAGTCAACACGCCAGGGATCACGGTGAGTAGCCGAAATTCCGGTCCCACCCAGTGGGGTGCGAGGTCCGAGGTTAATCCTTTTTTTCTCCTTGTAGAATTGTGGGCTCACGCCGCCGAAGCGCCGATGGAGATTCCTTCGCCGGCTCCTGTCAGGACCCCTTTCTGCCTGAGGTCCCGACAGGGTTCGCTGTACGACGAAACGCCCCTGAGAGGTGGGTGTCCGCTCTGTTTTCTTATAAATACCGTAGACGGAACGAGCCAAATATTTGTTATCTTCCGTGGAAACGTCGGGTGCCATGGGATGGCGCTTAGGTCTAAAGTAGATGCGCCGCTATACTTGCAGTCTGTCAGTTGTCCCTTTGGCCGTAGAAATACTTCCGCCTTTCCGGCCTGAAAATAGCCTCTTTTAAGCGCCGGTGCGTATATAGGCGCCTGCCGTTGCAGAGTTCCCAGCGGCAGCTCCAGCAAAGGATCGAAAGACGAAATGAAACCCAAAGCCTGCCGGATGCGGTGTCGAACCCAAAGCGTGTGTATAGTAAGCGGTGAAACTCTACTGTTAATTTGGTCGCTCCCTAAGTAACGGTCGCGTGGACATTCGTTGGTTACCAGGTAATACTGCCCGTTATTAGTACGGTGATTTTAATTGATAGTATCCCAACCAGGATATGTTTCTTTAAATGTTTGCAGGCTGTAATAACACCTTTTAACGTTAGAAAAGAGCTATAATAATCTGGATAGCAAAGTTAAATCTTATTTCATTTATTTAAAAAATTCTAGAATGCAGGAAGGATTATTAGGATATTTTCGATACTGTTACCCAAAGTCTATAAAAACACGTAACAAAAATAACAACGCGATTATAGTTTACATAACATATTTGATATAATTTTATTTTATGTATTTCAAGCAAATTAATTAGGATAATAATTTCGTACACAGATAAAAAGCTCACCTTATTTTGGAACAATGATTAAAATATTTCCAATTATTCTATCCACAATTCTTCTCGATATTTTTATTTATAATCTGTGATTACTATTACATTTTCTACTTCTAACTTTTTATATTACGTTAATCGTTAGCTTTTGATATTTAAAAATTTAGATGTTGCGTGTCTGTAACGTAAGTAATTTACTTAAACAACTAAATTAACTGTAGAAATGTTTTTTCTCTAATTATATATACGAAAATGTTCACGAATAGTTTCTTACATCTTTATAAACTAAAATTTAGCAACATTATGATAAGTAGTAATTTAACTAATATATAGGCCTATATGTTATGGACAAAGTGATTAATACGGGCATTATGAATAATGACCAACAAAATCGGGCATTGTAATAAATTTCAATAATTTATCAAATTGACCGGTCATCCGACATACGTTAGCCAATCAGAACTTACATCTTACTTGATCACGCGTACTGCATTTAGTACCGAATTTTAAATTTGTGACCAGTAGTTAATCTTTCTTCTTTGACAAAAGTAACGATCATGGAGGAATCATTAAGTGATATGAATAATCGCTTCTATAACCGATTAAACGAGTTAAAAACCTTTACAAACTGGGTACCAAACATGGCATATTAAATCTATTATATTCCAGAAACCAACTTACTGTTTGTAAAGAAAACTTCATTTCTGTTGGAGATGTACCGGGTGCAGAAATTTCGCTTAGAGAATGTGCAAGAATGTCATCAATTTTTGAAGGTCACAACTAGGGCCGGATCATCGCATAGACAAATGAGACAAATGTCTAGGGCCCGGTTTTTAGAAGGGCCCGGTCAAACTGTCTATTTTCAAAAAATTTGTAAATAAGATAGATTACTCTTCTGTTGGACAACTGTATAATACTGGTAAAACATTATATTATTTAAATATTAACCAAAAAGGTTAAATTAAACAAGTAAAACGGCAAAACCGTATTTGGGACACGACTATGTCTCGGAGACACTACTAAGCGGAATCACTTTGACGCTCAAAGCGGATCTCTTTCTCATTCTCCAATCTTCTTTGGTATCGCTGCTTTTGGGCGCGATCGTTCAAACTTCGCCGGCCACGACCACGAGATCGTCCACGATGCATTTTTGATGAAATTAACCTATCCAATTTCGAAATTTCTCTCCGTTGCGTGTCGGCCCGGGTTGAATTTTTGTCGATGCCTAACGAAAATTTCTCGTCTTTGAAAAAAATAATCGTGGCTATTGTATCGTCCGAAATTATTTTTTTTTTTTTTTGTGCACAAACAATATACAGTTTAACCTGATTATAACGTCAAATTTTTACTGGTCCCACGATTTTACTATACTAGACAATGTTAAAAAACCTACTTGTAACGACATAAAACCCTGTTTTAATGTCATATTTGAAGCACTCCCAAATTTACAAAATTAGATTACAAATTTTATTTAAGAAAGAAAATACTACGTGTTCAGTCCTAGGGTCAGAGTCCATTTCCTTGAACGACTGTGGGTGGTACTCTCACCACCTGACTTCGGTTTGCCTGTTTGTAGAGAGAGTCGCCATTTTGTATTTTACTTTCACTCGGTTCTCGGTCCCGAGTACCTACAAGTCAGGTTTTTTTATGCGCGCATGATTTGGGCACTTAATACTCTGTGCCAAATTGCAACTCCTGACATGTACTCCTTCATACCTCTAAGCTGGTAACACAGCAAGCAGTACGATTTTATAAACAAGACATAGTCTTGTTGACAATTATTTTTTTAAGGTAATATTGTTATTTTACAACAACTTTTGTTAGACATTTAATAAAACAAATTTCAATATTTTAAATTTATAAACAAACTGTTCAAACACAACAATAAATTTTAGTTTTTCTAGAAAGAGAAACTAAAATTTATTGTTGTGTATTAAATATTTTTTATTAATAAAAATTTAAGATTTGTTTTAGTTTTTCACATTATTTAGTTTTGTTTTATTTATTATTTTATATTTTTTGTGCGCTCTATTTCTAGTGTGAGAAAGGGGGGCCCGTAAGAAGAAAATGTCTAGGGCCCCAAAGTGGGTTAATCCGGCCCTGGTCACAACTATAGTTAATGCTGCTGAAAAATTGGTTGAAAATCTAATAGATACAAATGCTACCAAAGAAAAAAAATTACGTAATTCCGAATGTCATGACAATCTTAATTGCTCAAATAAATAAACTAAAAAACATTTAATTTTTTATATAATTTATACCAAAAATTGTTAATAATACTTTTCGTTAATATTAGTTTAATTAATATAGTTAATAGTACTTTGATATAATTTACAAATAATAAATATTTCTAAATGAAATAAGTGAAGTTTTTTAATCAAATTTAAAATTCTGTACTAAACGCTGTACGATACGCACAAAGCGTGCCGATTGGCTAGCGTATGTCAGATGATCACTCCTCAACTACTTATCATCACTTTGCCAGACTAGGTGATAGCAGGACCTAAATTGACATAATGACCGGTCAATTTGATAAATTAATCAATATTTATCACACTGCCCCGTCCTATTTGGTCATAATTCATTATGCCCGATTAATCACTTTGTCCATAACATATACACAACAATCAAATGTGTTTCTAAACGATCAAAATCATTTGCCGCCTTCGGGATATGGATTTAATCGGTTTCCACCAGTAGAACTGTCATAAAGCTTTCACACACAAAAAATGAGCTATAAAATATCTTAACGGTAAAAAAAATTTATGTAAAGTTCGTTTTCAATGTAGCTAATAATCTGTATAACACGCGCTACAGTTTGTTTGAAAATTATAAGCCCACCTAACTTGTTTCCAATAACAAAAACATTAACAATAGAAATGTATTTATTACATTAGTGTGTTGTTTACAACATCGATTTAAACGTTTTCTGAAATTTTTAGCGCTATCTGACAAATAACGATCACATATTTTAAATTTTTGATTGTTTCAAAATACAGTACAGTAATAAACACGGGTGCATAAAAAACGGTTTGTGATGTCTGAATATTTTGTAGGTTGACCTACATTTAATTAATTCAAATACTCTATCGGACAGTTTTTGAAGTTGTTTAATATTTTCCCAACAATCCACGATAGCTAATTACGGTTCATTTACAGTGTGTGTATTGTCTGTTTTGGCCATAAAAAGACAATTCGTAATGGCCCAAACATTCTCTATCGGGTTCGTACCGGGACTCCGTGATGGCCAATCAATTACATTTAATTTTTTTTCGGCAAACCAATTTTTAGTTGACTTTGATGCGTGAATGGCACCATTATCCTGTTGGAATTGCCAGTTTTCTCGCCCAGTAAGTGATCCAAAAGTTATTAAATTTTGATATAACCGTTCTTACTTTTCTGAATTCATTCTATCTTCTAAAAATACAATGTCTGTTTTACTCCCATCCAAACCCTAGCAGGTAATCGCGCTCAGTGTGAACTAAGCTTAAGGAGTTAAGGCCTTCCACGTGGCTTAATTCTGCCATAATTTTCACCCCGAGTTAACATTTCTCACAGCACGCGTAGATCGATTTACAGCTGCCGAAATCTGTCTGAAGATATTGTCCCGATTCTTTTATTTGGTAAATTTCACTTCTTTCCAACTCTTAGTGTTTTGCCACCAGACATTATTTTAAATCACAAAAAACCGTTTAAAATTGGCGCTACGTTTGTATTAACGAATGATACTATCCTTCAATGACAATTATTGGTTTAATTAGTTATTATACTAATTTTATGCACCTGTGTTTATACTTTTGAAACAATCAAACGTTGAAAATCTGTAATGATTTTTTTTTGTAATTATCACATTAAACATTTTCTGAAAATTTAGAGCAAATTGATGTTGACTATGTAATAAATACATTACTATTGTTAATATTTTTGTTATTGAAAACAGTTGGGTGTGCTTATGATTTTGAATCAGATAGTATGAGCCGGCAACGAGCGAGTGTACACAACCGTTACCAGGGGGCGCCGATATCATCGAGCGAAAAATTTAATTAAATTAACAATGGCTTTTGGCCGCTCACCATATAAGTTACACGCTTTACCGAATATGCCGGACGGACTTTTCTGGGTCGAGAGCTAAGGGGAGAGGGAACGATTGGGAAGAGATGCGCCCGATTCTTAAACGGCCGCGGCCGCATCCAAATACCGCGTGTTAATTCCGTAAATCTAACAGTTTCGGGAGTGTCGGTAACGATAGACATTTTACGTATATTCTTAACCGACCAGTAAGATATATATATATAATGGGACAGACCAGGTATTCCCCAGAACTTTCAATGGGGGAAAGGGTGGGAGAGAACGACTAATTGAATTATAGAAACGTTTAGACCCGGCGTTAAGATAAGGTAAAAGGTCACAAAAGAGGGATTTTGGCCGGATTTACAGTTTATTCGGGTTTAAGTGAGCCGGTATCTTTTTATTATTTGGTGAGTTACGGCGGGACTCGGCGAGAAAGGAGCTACGGCGCATTGCCTGGTTCCGAATGGATAAGCCGCGATTTTGGCAATTACGTCGTCTTAGAATAATATAACAGTTAAAAACAGTAAAATACATTTGTTTAATGAACAGATATTCCGTATACAGAAAGAACACGGCGGGCAAAACCGACACAGGCAATATCAGTTTTACGGATATTAAAAAATTAATATATCGCATTTTTCGAGAAAGAAAAGGAGAATTCGGTTTGTTAAAAATTTAATAAGATTTTTCTGGACGCGACTCGAGGAAAAAGTTACAAAAGGGCCAAACCGTCTGCCGACCAAAAAGACAAAAGGGCTTCTTTCCGCCGCCGTGGCTCGTAAGCCGCACCTATCACTCGCTTGCGGAAACGGTGGACGGAACGGCAAAAATTAGACGAACGGGAAGGCCGTTTAGCAACGTCTCGGTAAAGATGACGCCGGCGAGGCTAGAAAGCTGTATTTATACACTATAATATAGCGTATAAATGAAATATATATGCCAAATAGACATACTACGTAAAGTATTGGAAATTCCTAACTCGCAACTATTTCCAATATTTTTCCTATCCGCAGTTTCCGTTTTTATTCGCGATGAGATCCAAAGCAAACTTTAAAAGTTGCGTCGATATAACGGCGCCATTTTAGGCCAGCTGCGGTAGCCTTTAAGATTTACGGTGTTTCACTTGTGAGGCAATTTCCGCGCGGGAAAATGGGACGGAAATTTTTAGCGCACCGCTTCTACACGCTAATACGGGCTAAAAGCGGATTTCGGTCGGGAATCCGAACGACGGGCCGAAGCTGGTTCCTTTTCCTGTTAATCGGGTTATTTGGAATATTGCAGATTCGCCGCCTTCGTCGCTGGGCACCGGAGTTCTGCACGAGAGCAACCACCGATTGTCTCCCCCCTGCGTCCGTTCCCGCAGCTCCAGCACCTCTTCGGCCGCCAGCTCGGCGGGCGGAGGCCGACGCGGCTTCTTCGCCTTCCGCAAGCCCGACAAGGACTACCCCTTCTGCTGATCTCCCGCAACAATCTCCTTTTTATGGTTCTTTTTCTCTTGTAAATAAGGCCAGTGCGCGTCCCGTTCCGGTCGTCGCGTGCAATTTCCTTTACCGGACGCGGCGCGCCAACGTTGGTTGTAAATCCCGTTACAGAAAATAATTAATTTTATTCGGATTTCGTCGGAAGACGTCCCGTATGTGTGTCCGTACCCGTGCCATTGTATAAAAATAAAAACACAGAAAAATTTCTGTCTATTTCTTCGACGGAATATGGACCTCCGCGATCTTCCTCGGCCCGATTGCCACTCGGTTTACATAAGAATAAAAGTCGACGACGTTAACGCAGGGTGACGAATTCTTCGGCGGAAGTGGGATGGATGGCCACGCAGTCGTCGAACTGTTGTTTGGTGGCGCCCATCTTGACGGCCACGGCGAATCCCTGCAGCATCTCGTCGCACCCCGGTCCCACGGCGTGAAGACCGATCACCTGGTTTCCGCGGAAAGAGACGTCAGACGAGGACGGAACGGAGAGAGAGAAATTCTTACCTTTTCCTCCCTTCCCAGACACACCAGCTTCATGACGCATTTGGTCTTCTTGGTGGTCAGCGCGTGGTACAGGGGAACGAAGGCCGTCCGGTATATCTTCAGCGCCTCTCTTCCGTGCCGGGCCACCGCCTCTTCTGCGCGAGAAAAATTCCGCCGTCAGCCGCCTTCTCCTTTCCTCCCCATCACTTACCGGCGACGTCCTTTACCTTCCGTCAGTCCCACGGCGGCCACCGGAGGGTGGGAGAAGACCACGGTGGGCACGTTCTCGTATTCCAGCTTCAGACCGGGTTGGGGCCCGAACAGGCGACGGGCCAGCAGTCTTCCCGCCGCGATGGCCACTAAACGTTTATAAAAATTGGAATTAATCGTCCGGTTCCGGTAAAAGTTAACGGCGCTAGACGGAAGTAAACATCTTACCGGGCGTCAGAAGCCACTTTCCGCAGACGTCGCCCAGAGCGTAGACTCCCGGACACGAGGTGTTCTGGTACGGGTCCACTCGGACGAATCCCGCGTCGTCCAGTTCCACTCCCTGAAACCACCGACGCTTTAAATCCGGGAAGGTCCCAATTTCCGCCCGCCTTACTTACGGTCCGATCCAGATCCAGTCCGGTGTTGGGTCGGCGACCCACGGCCCACAGCAGACACTCCACCTCCTCTATCTTCTCCGACGAGGCCAGGCTCAGGATCAGCTTCCCGTCCTCCGCCTTTTTCACTCCCTCGATCTTAATTAAAACCCGGACAAAGGCCCGTTTAGTCCGGAAGCGGGCGGAGTTTAACCCACTTCCGGGCCACCGGCGGGACTCACCGTTTCTCTTCTGAAAATATTAATTCCCGCGGCTTCCATCTCCTCGGTGACGGCGCCGCTTATGGTGGAATCGAAAGTTCGAAGTACCTGAAGAAGCAAAGGTGGGATGAAACCAAGGGGGTTTGGAGAAATTTCGGTAGAAAGGACGGACGCACCTTGTCTCCTCTGACGACCAGAGAGACGCGGGAGCCCACGGCGTTGAGAATTCCCGCCAGTTCCACGGCGATGTATCCGGCGCCGGCGATCACCGTCTTCCTGAAGGAGGAGGATCCGTTAGTACCCGAGAGGAAGGCCGGCGCGTTCTTCTACAGAGAGGAGTCGACTCACCCGGGAACCTCTTCCAGTCGGAAGAATCCGTCGCTGGTTATGCCCAATTCGGCACCCGGCACCTCGGGAACCAGGGGGCGACCTCCGGTGGCGATCAACACCCGCTCTCCGGAATAACGTTTTCCCTCCACTTCCACCGTTCGTCGGTCCACGAATTTCGCCTCCCCCTTTATAACGGCCACGCCGCTCTGCAAGTTAAAAAAAAAAATTAATATAATTACGCAAAATACTAAACGCCGCGAGAGAAATCGGGCGGAATTTCGGGCTTTGTATTTTTGTTTCTCGGCCACTCGCCGACATTCGAACTGTACCGTCCCTCGTACTTCGATTTAATTCGTTTCGGGAGGTCGTTCGAATTTCGAACCCGTTCTCCCGTTAGGTATAACGGAAAGTTAATAGGTTCCCACACCCTTGACAATATGTAAACAAAGATAATTTAATGAAATTCGAACACGAAAACCGCAAGTAGATAAATACCGTATAACGAAATGAAAACTGCATTTAATGGTCGGCTGCTTGGTAGATACACTACGGACAACGTTAGGATGCGTAAGATTTTATCTTTTGTTTAGAATCATCGAATAAAATCGAGCCGTAAAATAAAGAATTTAAATAAAATGTCGAACTTCGGAAATGACGTAAAAAGGGTGGCTTCGGGAAATTTTGAATTATACTAATAAACGTAGGGGGACGCCCAAAGAAATTGTTAAAAATAACACGCGGTAATGATATATAACCGGACGTAGCGCCAGAGATAACGTGAAACCATCGGATTTCGCTTCAGCGCAGCTCCAAGTACCAGGTAGTGTACTTTATTAGAATGGCTGCGGGCCGTCTTTACGCCAATCTTCAAACGTCGAACGCCAGGGGGCGACTTGACGTTTTGGAGTCGTCCGACGAATTTTGAATCAAAAAGTTAAACCCATTTACCCTGCGTTAGTGCACTGAATTTTTTTTCGGCATTAATGCAGTGGGGTGTTTGTCCATCCCAACATTTTTTTCGGGTCCATAAACCATGTAAGTAAAAATTCATAAAGATGTACTCATTTATTTGGTAAAGGCGTGTCATTATACATATGATTATATTCGGGTATGATTACATATTATATTAGTACATAAATCCATGAAAATAAAAAACATTTATCAAAACTCATTACATTAGATCTTATTATTAAACCAATAGTAAAAATCTTAATTGTTTTTTTAAGCATTTTTGTCACTCTGATTCAATAGCTAACATTGTACTTTGGCACTCAATGCAAATGACAAGCAGCTTGCTATGTTTGGTATTTTCTCAGTGTGTTTATGAAAGTCAGCCATTTTGAATTAAAATGAACTNTCCAGCAAAGGATCGAAAGACGAAATGAAACCCAAAGCCTGCCGGATGCGGTGTCGAACCCAAAGCGTGTGTATAGTAAGCGGTGAAACTCTACTGTTAATTTGGTCGCTCCCTAAGTAACGGTCGCGTGGACATTCGTTGGTTACCAGGTAATACTGCCCGTTATTAGTACGGTGATTTTAATTGATAGTATCCCAACCAGGATATGTTTCTTTAAATGTTTGCAGGCTGTAATAACACCTTTTAACGTTAGAAAAGAGCTATAATAATCTGGATAGCAAAGTTAAATCTTATTTCATTTATTTAAAAAATTCTAGAATGCAGGAAGGATTATTAGGATATTTTCGATACTGTTACCCAAAGTCTATAAAAACACGTAACAAAAATAACAACGCGATTATAGTTTACATAACATATTTGATATAATTTTATTTTATGTATTTCAAGCAAATTAATTAGGATAATAATTTCGTACACAGATAAAAAGCTCACCTTATTTTGGAACAATGATTAAAATATTTCCAATTATTCTATCCACAATTCTTCTCGATATTTTTATTTATAATCTGTGATTACTATTACATTTTCTACTTCTAACTTTTTATATTACGTTAATCGTTAGCTTTTGATATTTAAAAATTTAGATGTTGCGTGTCTGTAACGTAAGTAATTTACTTAAACAACTAAATTAACTGTAGAAATGTTTTTTCTCTAATTATATATACGAAAATGTTCACGAATAGTTTCTTACATCTTTATAAACTAAAATTTAGCAACATTATGATAAGTAGTAATTTAACTAATATATAGGCCTATATGTTATGGACAAAGTGATTAATACGGGCATTATGAATAATGACCAACAAAATCGGGCATTGTAATAAATTTCAATAATTTATCAAATTGACCGGTCATCCGACATACGTTAGCCAATCAGAACTTACATCTTACTTGCTCACGCGTACTGCATTTAGTACCGAATTTTAAATTTGTGACCAGTAGTTAATCTTTCTTCTTTGACAAAAGTAACGATCATGGAGGAATCATTAAGTGATATGAATAATCGCTTCTATAACCGATTAAACGAGTTAAAAACCTTTACAAACTGGGTACCAAACATGGCATATTAAATCTATTATATTCCAGAAACCAACTTACTGTTTGTAAAGAAAACTTCATTTCTGTTGGAGATGTACCGGGTGCAGAAATTTCGCTTAGAGAATGTGCAAGAATGTCATCAATTTTTGAAGGTCACAACTAGGGCCGGATCATCGCATAGACAAATGAGACAAATGTCTAGGGCCCGGTTTTTAGAAGGGCCCGGTCAAACTGTCTATTTTCAAAAAATTTGTAAATAAGATAGATTACTCTTCTGTTGGACAACTGTATAATACTGGTAAAACTGGTAAAATATTATATTATTTAAATATTAACCAAAAAGGTTAAATTAAACAAGTAAAACGGCAAAACCGTATTTGGGACACGACTATGTCTCGGAGACACTACTAAGCGGAATCACTTTGACGCTCAAAGCGGATCTCTTTCTCATTCTCCAATCTTCTTTGGTATCGCTGCTTTTGGGCGCGATCGTTCAAACTTCGCCAGCCACGACCACGAGGTCGTCCACCATGCATTTTCGATGAAATTAACCTATCCAATTTCGAAATTTCTCTCCGTTGCGTGTCGGCCCGGGTTGAATTTTTGTC